AGGACCATTGTCAGGCCCATTCCTCGCTTTCCCCCTTGCAGCGACCCCCCCACATCCTCAGAGCCCCCTTGCTTTGTTGGAGGCCATGATCTTAGCAACCACGTGTGGATCCATTCGTGGCAGGTGTTTCTTTTTTTTTTAATGCCTGTCCCTCGACTTTACTAAGCATGCAGTCCTGCTCAGGGGGCGGGTACCCTTGACGACGTGGTCAAGGTGAGTGAGACAAACTCTTGCCATCGGCACTGCTAAGGAGCAGGTGGCTTGGCTTCCTCCGAAGCAAATTCATTCTGCCTCCCAAGGTCTGTGGTCCACTCGATGGCCTTCGCCAACACTGCCATCCACAGGCATCCGCTCTTCTTCCTCGTGTGTAAGTTGACGTTGAAGCTGCAAACAACCACAACAACAAAAGTCCCCATGCGTCAAAGCACAGCCTCGGTATCTCCCGGCTGCACTCAGAGACCCGCTCAGGCACAGATCAGACCAACACACATTGAACAAAGACGCCGTTCAGCATGAACTGGGGCCCTCTGAGGCTAGGCTAGGCAGAGGATTCTGGGCGGTGGCCACTATCTTCAAGGACATAGAGGGGCCACCTGGGTGGAAGAGAGGGCAGATGACGCTTCTAGAAGCTGCACTGTGCTATGCTCTCAATGCTGACAGGATGAGCCAGTGTGCTGGGGGAGGCTCTCCTGGAGGCGGGGGAGCTCAGAAAGGCCTCCGCGGGGCCCCTTCACCTAGCTCTTGCTCCTGCTTGTCAGCCCCACACCCTTCTTCGGGGAATGGTCCTGGGAGGCCTATGGGAAAGAGGAGAGACCCTGAAATACAGGGGATGTACATCACCCTAGAATAGTGCCTAGGGACTGGCTGATTGGCGATGGAGGAAGTGACCCAGCCCCTCCAATGTGAGGGGGGGACAACTGTGAGGCATGCCTCCCACCCTAGAGTCCCTGTGGATGAAGCTGAGGCTGGGACTTCCACCTGAAGTTGCCCCTTTGCTTCGTAGCCTGCTGCCCGCAGGACCCCAAATCAAAAATACCAAACAACGCCATCGAATGGATTCTGACTCACCGCAACCCTAGATGTCCAGGTTTCCAAAGCTGCACGTCTTTCTAGGAACAGAGAGCCTTGCCTTCCCCCCACAAAGCAGCTAATGGGTTTGAACCGCCAACCTCTCAGTTAGGCCTTAATAAACCAGCAGCATGAGGATCCTCGCCTCAAAGTGGGCTTCTTGGGGCCCATCCCCAGGGCAGAACCTTTGGTCACCAGCAATTGGGTCAGTCCCCCATGAGGATGAGGGGCCTGCAGGTCTGATAGAGATGCTCCCAAGAGCCACACAGACTGCCCACCATGCCCCCGCCCACTTCCCTTCCACCTCTGACAAGGTAACAGAGCTCACCTGGTGCATCCTCCAGTGTAGCTACCGAGGCCAGCCCAACTTGCCTCCATTGGAGCCTCCAGACCCCGCCCCGAAGATGCTATCTTGAGCTAGCCACACAGGGCCCTGCTGGCCACCATTCGGGAGCCCAGGTCACCTCAGATCAGGGCAGGTCCAAGAAAAGGCCTGGGGAGTCTGAATCCCACGTCTGGGTCCAGAACCTCTCTTGACACCATTACGGGTGTCTTGCTGGGTGGTGCTCACAGTCAGCTGACTTGGCTGCCAGCTCACAGGCTGGAGGTTTGAGTCCTGGGGAGGAAAATGTCCTGGCAATCAAATCCGGAAACCCACTGATCACCCTGTGGGGAGCTCAGTCCTAACCCCAATGCCCTTGGGCTCCACTCCACGCAGCTGGTTACCAGCTATGTTCGGAGAAATGGGTAGGCCAGGGCACTGTGTTGAAATCTAGACACTGTCCCTACTTGTCACCTGGTGGAGGAGGGCAGGAAGGGACACACATAAAAAGGCAATAGCAGGTGCTTTAAAATGTCTCTGGGAAATACCCTTTATCTTTTCAGTCCATCAAGTTTTGACGCCCCTTCATATGACCTGCCCCCAGCTGGGGTCTGGAGGTGGGGTGCCAAGGGGGGACATCCAGGGCTCCTACCTCAGCCTGGGGACATTGGGGACGGTACCTGGGGGAAGCAGCATCCACTCTTGAGCCCTGGATTTGGTCAAATGAGAGGAGAGGGCAGAGTGCCCGCAGGGGAAGCCTCAGGTGCCTGGCAGGCAGTGAATAGGTGGGGGCTGGGGGGCAGCAACCTGACTGTCCTGGTGAGCTGGACAGTGGGGCCTGGGCTTTGACCCAGGGACAGCGGGGGATGTTAAGCAGAGGAGTGACAAGGATGAAGGGCTGGGAGCAGGGGGCCAATGAGGAGGCAGCTGCTTTCTCCAAGGGAGAGAGCGTGGTGGCCCAGTCCAGAAGGTGGCATGGGGAGGGAGGGAGCTTGTACCCCAAGGATATTCAGGAAATTAACTGGACACAACTCGGGGGCTGGTTTTCCCCTCATTGAAGTGGACAGGCCTTCGGAGATCTCTGCAAGGTAGTCCTGGCCTCAGAATTGTGGGCTTGCATTTCTCTCCCTTCCCCCCTTCATTTCCCCAGCAATATGCCACTCCCCGCCCCCCTCGCCCCAGGAGTGAGGTTGGGGCAGTGAGGAGAGATGTACCCGCAGCAGTTGAATCACACCGAGCTTTCCAGCAGCTGCAATTCCAGTTCTTAGCAGTAGGTGGCAGCCTAATATTGAAAGGGAAAACCAAACCTAAATTCGCGCCCGGTGAGACCGCGCTGACTGATAGGACCCTATAGGACAGGGTAGGACGGCCCCAGTGGTTTCTGAGCCTATAATTCAGTGGTTCTCAACCCTCCTCATGCTGCAACCCTTTAATACAGTCCCTCATGTTGTGGTGAGCCCTCCACCATAAAATTATTTTCGTTGCTACTTCATCACTAATTTTGCTACTGTTATGAACTGGGTGACCCCTGTGAAAGGGTCGTGCCCCACAGGTTGAGAACCGCTGCTATAACTCTTTATTGGAGTAGCGGTCTCTTCTTTCTCCTGTGCAGCGGCTAGTGGTTTCTAACTACTGACCTGGGGGTGAGCAGCCCAACACAAACCCACGACGCCAACAATTCCCCTCACTCACCTCTTGAGAAATGATGGGCTTCGCTGAACTGGTGTCCTGGGGCTTACCAGAAGGCAGTGTGCTTGTCATCGGAATTATAACACAGTAAGAACGCCTAACTTCTGTGGAGGGGAGCCCTTGTGGGCTTGGGCAGGGCTGCAGTTCAAAACCACCGGCAGCTCCTTGGGAGAAAGAGCAGGCTTTCGACACTCGCAAACAGCCTCGGACACTCTCAGGGCAGTGTGACTCCGTCCTGCAGGGTCTGCGTGGCAGGGAGGTTGGCTTGACCTTCTGTGGAGAATTGATGTTTTGCAGACCCTCTGCCCGGAGCGATCCGTGAATTTCCTTCACTGCCCCATAGAGCCACCATTGTGAATCCCTCTTACACATCAGGAAAATGCTGTAGGAGGCCAGGTGGGTGTGCAAAGTCACCCGGCTGCGGCAAGGATTAGAATGCGGACAGGGGTTTAGTCTGAGAAGTGGGGATCAGGGAGGGGCTGCTGGAGGTTCAATTCGCGGTTTTGGACTACGGAGTGCAAAGTGGATGATCTGGAAGCAAACTCCATTCACAAATGTTCCCGTAACAACTCTGGTTTGAACATAAATAAGGATTAGAATCCCAGGCTTTGTCCATTACAGCAAAAGAAACTCTTCACGTGTTTGTCACCCAAAAGACGGCACTCAGCTGAGCCCTGTTTCTGCTTTTTCCCTGGTGGCGTGGAGGTTACACGCTGGGCTGCCAACTACAAGGTCAGCAGTTAGAAGCCACCCCTCACTCTGAGGGAGAAAGACGAGGCTTTCTTGTCCCGTGAAGAGTTAGTCTCTGAAACCGACAGGGGCAGTGCTACCCTGCCCTGTAGGGTCGCCAGGGGGCTGGGTTCTCAGCGTTCTTCTCCCTGGCCTGCTGACTGACTAGCTGCAGGCTTCTCAGAGCCCCGAACCACTGTTCTCACAACTACCACCATTGCTCGAGGAGCAAGGAAGAAGCAGCCGGGGGGGTGGAAGGGGTTGGAATTCCTGATTTTAAAACCCTCCCAAGCCTTGCTTCCTCTGGCCCTTCAGCACTTTTCTCGAATCGCTAGTACAGGTACTTCAAGCACTTTTGTGATGCCAGGGGCTACACGAGGCTCAGCAACTGCCCCCACCCCTTCTTCCGGCCCATGAATCCCAAACCCCACGCAGCAGACCCACACCTGCTGGGAAGCAGCCCTGACATTCCGCCCATCCGGGATCCACCAACCAGACTCCCAGTGCAGCTCATGAGTCACGCGTTAGCAGGACTCTGAGCAGATGGAGAAAAATGAACAAATGTCTAAAATTCTCCTTCCTCCTCCCAGAGTCAAGGCGGTGGAAAAGTCATGGGAGAGCTGCCAAAAAGGCCGAGTCTTCAGGGACGACTTGCGGCATTTCCCTGCTCCCCCCGACTCTGCCCAGTAAGTCAATGCCCTTTGCAATTTTGTGGACTCCATCCTAACAGCAGAAAGTCAGAAGCTGTACCCAAGCTATGATTGGAAGAAAGAACAAAAGGAGCGTGGGGACATCCCAGACAGGGGCTGGGACTGGAAGCAGCGGTAGAGGAGGAAGCCACACGATTGCTTGACTGGCATGGCCACAGGCATTGAGGAAAGGTACCAGACTGAGTCACAGCAGTCCTCGTACTGGCCATGCACGGAGAGCTTAGGGTACGTGCCCACATACATGCTCCATGTACTCTGCCTCTGTCATTTAACCTTCCATCGTTTATTTAGTCGGCTACAGGTATTGACTGGGTGCCTGTAACGTGCTAAGCCTTGTTCTGGACCCAGCAGGTAGACTGATGAGCAAAGACAGATCAGGCCCAGCATGTGATCAGAAGCGGCAGACCACCAACACAGAAGCAGTCCCATTTCCATTGCTGATAAGTGCTGGAGGAAATCATCGTCAGAGAGCCTGCGGGAGCCGGGCTCCTCTGAGGACGTGACAAAGGATCCTGAAGGATGAAAGGAAAAGAGTCCCACAAAAAAGCAAAGCGATCTAGGGCAGAGGGAGCATCCCTGACTCGGAGAACAGCAAGGGCAAAGGCCCTGGGGTGGGGGAAAGAGTGGTACAATCCAGGAGCAGACAGGGAATTGAGATCCAAGAGGCCCTGTGAAGGAAACCGGGACTTTCTTCCCCTGGATGAAGGAAGCCAGCAGAAAGTCTTAGTGAGTGGCGTGGTGCGATTGTGGCCTTGACAATGGCTCTGGCGACACACCGCTGACCCCGTTTGCAGCCCTGCCGAGAGCAACCCTGTGTGATCTAAATGGCTGCCTGACTACACACAGATGAGAAAGACAGGGCTCAGAGAGGTCTCGTGTCCCCAAGGTCACACCAGTGTGAGAGGCAGAGCCACAATTCAAGCCCAAGGGTGACTCCAGCCTGAATCTCTGTCCCAACACTGGCTGGCATCAGTCACAGGAAGGAGGTGGCCAGTGAGGGGGAGGATGGCCTCCTGGGGAGGGGGGGACTTGGAGAACTTGGTCTGGGGCCTGGAATCCGGCCTCTAGATATTTTCCTGGCCTGCAACCAGGCCAGCCTCCCTCCAATTCTCCCCACCTCCCACTGCCGCCCCATCTACTGAAGGGTCTGCTCTCCAACTCTGACCAGGAGTGTCGCAGACCCGGAGGGTCTTCAAGCCTCTACTATTAATGAAGCTATCCAGGTTGAGGTTTACATCTCCAAGCCAGCTCACTTGAGCGCACACCCCGGCCGCCCTGCCCGCAGCCTCTGTTGTCCGAACTGTTGGCTGAGCAGTGCCAGCCCGGCGCCAAGGCCAAGTCCTGCCTACAGGACAGTCGGAGGTCACGGCCGCGCCCGAGCTGCCAGCTGATCAGGGAAAGGGTGCTCTGCTGTCCTCGTCCCCCACCCCTGCCTCAGCTTCCCTTCCTGAGCGTGGCATGGTGCTGAGAAGTGAGTACCCTCGGGACCCCAGGGAAGCTTGCTTACAAGCCGCCTGGAGAACTGGGTCCCTCTGTCGGGATCAATCACCCTAAGTCTGCGTGAGGCATCCGGGCTTAGGAGGAGCTGTGAAAGCCGCCTTTGTGCTGGGGAGAATGAGCTGCAAGAAGACCAGGGGCCCTGGCCCGGGGGACCCCTCAGGCCTCGGAGCCTGAGATCCACCCCAGAGGGAGGATCCCATCCTGGCCTCTGCCCAGGCCTGGTGCCCACCTCGTGCCATGGGAGCAGCCCAAGGGAAGAAGGTAGGAGCCCATGGGGGCGCAGCTGGAGGCTTTAGACATGGGGGCCGGGGGGACTGGGACTGGGTTTGCCAGCTGGAAGCACCCACTCACCTGCTAGCTTCGTGGACCATCAGCCAGGCACTGCCCACCTACCTCTCTCCCCAGCTCACAGCCAAGATTTGCACTTGGAAATCAGGTCAGGAATCAGGGCAAAGTTGGGTGTGGATCTGCGATGTGTGGAACAGACCTGGACCTGCTCCCTATTTCCCTACATCCAGTGTATGGGTTCCCTGG